GATGTGTGCAGGATTCCCCTCTTGCATGGATCTCTTAACAATAGGACATGTCTGTGCTTGGGCTTTGGGAATACTACCCACATCCACTAATCTTACCCCAAAGCTGCAGCCATTCAGTGGGGTGGATCCTGCAGGAAACGCGGGATAGCAAACAATTGCCAGGCTGGGTTCTCTAATCTCCCTTAGTTTAAATCTGCCACGCAGGATGTTAAAAAGGCAAAATCTCATGGCAGCAAGCACATTTTTGAGGATTAGGCACTTCCTGTGCATGGCTGTATGTGTGTTTTAGTATTTTAAGCTGACTTCTAAAACTGGTAAACAATTGCTCTGCTTCCACTGGTGGATGGTGTTGGATGACCTCTTTTACATGCCTGATTATGCTGTCAACATTTATAATGCCTTTGATATTTCTTTCTCGTTGGGATTGGATCAGTTAAGCGGTTACGTTTCACTTATGCTCAGCTTGCATTACTCTGGGCTTCACATCCCCTGGTAATATATGTTGACATTAATTTCTGTAGATTTAGCAGTGAGGGATTGTTAATTTATTCATGGTTGAAAGGGATCTGAAATGGGGAGGAAAAAAAAGAGTTCTCTGGGAGGAAGGCAGGGAGGAGAGGAAATACACATCTCATATGGAACAGAGCGCTGATCTTTCATGCCTATTTGTTTCACACAGCGTAATGAATGCCCCATCCTGATTAACAATTTTGACCTATTTAAAGCTGCAGTGTTCTTCTGTGTTCGTATTTTGTTTCTTGGCAATGTGAGCCACACATAACATTTTCGAACGCATCAGCTGTGGTGTTTGTCTAACAGATACCATTATCGCATGCCAGTGACTAGATTCAAAGCCACAATGAGACATTTCTAAGGCAGCACCTTGCAGAGCTTATGTAGACAACCCTTTTGTGTCTGCAATTTAAATTGGCCAGCCCCCCTTCCCCCATTAACTTAATCTAATACGTCAACAGAATGCTGCCCTGCTTACTATTCCAGCACAGGTCATTAATGGATCAAAATTAAATAGATGTTTACAAAGAGTGTCATTATTTCTTTCTTGTTTTAGCAGAGCTTGGGGTGGGGGGTGGTTGCTTTGAAAGCAAGTGGTAAAATCATGTATTATATATTAATTATATGGTTGGCAAGCCTGCAGTAGATTCATCACATCTAAACCTGCCACAGACACAGACACACTTCTTGACTAAACACTGCTCTCATGCCAAGGAATCATCCATTGCTGATTTATTTAAGTTTGATTTTAAGACATATGGAAAAATAAATGGAAATTATGGGGTGTTTTCTAGCACAAGATAGACTGTAGGGCCTAGATTAATCAGTCACAGAATCGTAGAACTTTTAGAGTTGGAAAAGGTCTTGGAAGTCATCTAACTGAAACCTTCCTCAAGGCAGAAATCTTGCAGCTACGGCATTCCTGACAAATGGTTGCCCATTCCTTGCTTCAGGACTTCCACTGAAAGAGAGCCTCCACTGTTTGTTCCATTGTCAAACAGCTCCTACCATTAGGAATTTTCTTCTAACATTGCGCTTCCCTCCAGTTTCCCTTAAGTTTCTATCGATTAGGTAAGATCAGACATGCCCCCACCGATTCCTTTATACCTTATCGATTTCCCACTAATTCCATTGTAAAAGCACTTCTTAAGAAAAGCCCCCCAAGTTAGCTCATTTCTAGAAGGAGGCACGTGAGTTCTGCCGATCTGCTTCATCCCAGAAATAAAGAATGTTGCCTTCACCAAATGCTGTGCATCGTTCTCATATTTCGTTTCTGACCCCCAGGCCAAATTTTCCTACCACATTTGATTCTGCTTTATTTCCTACCTGTGTGTTCAAGTCACCTATGATTATCAGCATATCTTGTTTTGATATGTTACCGATTTCCTCTTGAACTCCTGCACAGAAGTTTTCAACTTCTTCATCAGCATCTGTTGTTGGAGCATAATCATGATAGGTTTCCCAGGGATTCTGATTGATATACTTCAGTGGGACTTAGCATTAGAGCCGCTTACTGCCTGTGCTACATCGATCCTCATTATGAGAGCCACTCTGTTTCTTCTGAGTTTGTCATTTCCAGAGTAAACTCTTTGTGCTTGTCGGACCAAAACCGCCCCATTCCAGTCCACTTTCGTTCACTCACACCAAGTACTGCAAGGTTTAACCATCCTGTTTCTTGCTTTATGGCCTCCAATTTGCCTTGATTCATTCGCCTCGCTTTTCATGTTCCAGCTGTATGCTGTATGTTGTGCAGCATCAGACTTTCCTTTCACCTTTGTTCATGTCATCTACTAGATATCCTTTCAGCTTTAATCTAGTAGTGTTGTTAGTGACAGCACTATTTGAACTTGTCTTTTGCTCTTCCCCAGTTGTTTGTTGAGTGCCTTCCGACCTTCTGGCACGATCTCTTGTTTCATTCCGGATTGTTTCATCACAGTGTTTTCAAGACAATTCAGAAGTTGTTTACCATGCCTTTTTCTGCACAGGACTAACCAGAATTGGCTTGAGCATCATTGCCCAGAGCTGTAGTGGAAGTTCCTCCACCAGTGTCCCTTCAGTTACCACTGCTGCCTGGGAACTGCCCTTCGGATACCCACCCGCTTTTGCTGACATGACCCTATTCCTTAAGAGGGTGGGTGCACCTAAGGGTAGGGTCTCAGCTTGGACCACTCCACCTTTGGTGGCCCTGTGAGGAGACCAAACTAGTGAGAGAATCTGGCCTCCTGGCAGCATTGCTCTGGGCTTAGAAACATAGAAAACAGAGCGAGTCAGAAGGGGCCTCCCGGGCCATCTAGTCTGACCTCCAGCACCAGCCGGCTCCGCTCACGACATGCCCACCATGTGGACGTCCAGCCTATCCTTGAATACCCGCACTGATGGGGCCTCAATGACCTCTCAGAGCAATGCTTTTGACCCCTTGCCATGCTACAAATCAGAGACAACTTGACAGCACCTAAGAACAACCACAACAATCCTGTTCATTTGTATACGAAAGAAAAGAGCCCCTAAGAATCGTTGTCCATGAACCATGCGCATAGCAGCAAATGGTCGGAAAAGCAGTCACACTGGCCACCCAATCTCAATTTTTCACAGAGTGGTGGGATGTACTATATTCCTGTTTAAATAATGCTCAGCATGTATAAATTTGCATATATGCATATCACTTAGCATTTGGACATTGACATGTGACTGTGCTACTTGGTGTCTAGAGTCGCAGACAAAAAGATATAATACGTTAATTAGGGGGATGTGAGTGGGTGTAATTTAATTAGTACATATTTGTTGAGAGTGAGTAGAGTGGCTGCTTTGGGCATTTATTCTCAAGGACTGCAAGCTTGGAATTGGAATGTGAAGCACATCAAAAGGGAGTTGGGGAGTGTGGACTCCCCATGGCCTGACCCTGCGATGTGAGAAGCAGAGGCACTTATCTCAAGGCCAGGCTTCCCAGGTGTTCAGGCAGTCTCTGGGAATGACCAAGTTTGCAGCTGGCAGGAAGGGGCCCTGAAAATGGGAACTTCTCTGACACAGACCAGGCAATCCTGCCTCTTGATTCCATGATGCAGTGGCACCAGTGACCCAAAAATAAAGAAAAAAAGATGGGGGGGGGGCACTCCTGCCAGCTGTACATCTTGGTTATCCCTGAGGCTGCCTGCACACCTGGGTGCCTGGCCTTGAGATATGCACCTCCACTTCTCTCATCTCAGAGTCTCGGCATGGCCCATCCTCCCCAACTCCCTTTTGCTCTGCTTCACGTCCCGATTCCGATTCTTCTAAAGCCCAGCCAGCAGTCCTTGAGGCCGAGCGACCAAAGCAGCCACCTTCTCACGCCCAGCAGTACGAACATCGCTTCAGTGTGCGAGCGCTTTATAGAGCAGTGCAGGCAAAACGAGTGGTTGCCAGCGTGTCCCAGGGAGCTTACAATCTACATTTCCACAGGGGGGAATGCCATACCTGGAGGGGAAGGAAGGGAGACCACAGCAATCATTTCTATTCCACTAGGAATGGAGATGAAGGCATTCAACCAAGGCTTTCTTTGTAAAAGGATTTTGAGAAAGGATATGAAGGAAGGTATAGGAAGGTGACCCCTGACAGAAATTTGAGCAGGGGGGTCCTGGCATGAGGGGAAGCAAGGGGGAATGGTCACCTTTGAAGAAGGACTCATAGCTCAGGGTTTAAGCATATGCTTTGTATGCATATGGACTCAGGTTTGGACCACCCCATCTCCAGCTGGGGGAACTCGCATGGTAGTGTGACAAAATGACACAAAAGGAGATCATGCAAGGCCTTCCACAGCGGCCAACAGATGCCTCACAGCTCAGTGTACACAACAGTATCCTTCCGTTTGTGTTCCGCAGTGGCTGGTATTCTGAGTCCCACTCTCATTGATACAGAAGCTAATGCTTAGCATTTGTGGCTCTTAACTGTTACTGGCCATATCCTTCCCTGAAGGGAAGGTCTGAGCTCTTTAAAGCCATCTGAACCAGTCCCCACCACCAAAATTTATTATGGTGAATTACTTAGTTTAACACTGACTTTGTAACCTCCATCTTCCATCTTTCAGCTTCCTTGGATGTCCCCACTAGGTTCTAGCATTGTGACAGAGGACAAAAAATGACTTACTATAGCCTTTCTCCATATTGTGATTACATACATAAACGTCGGCCATCTCCGCCCCCCAACTTAATTGCTTCCTCCCTGCAGCCCCAAAAGTTGCAACCTGACGCTCCAAAGCAGTAGCAGAAAGTAGATCCAGTCCTACTGACAGATCGTGGGATTTTTCCATAGATCAGCAGGAGTGTCTAATTCCGTACTGTTTAAAATCACAACAGCAAAAGGACTGTTTCCCTCTCCTATATTATTAGTAACCCCCTTGTAAATTTGTACTTATGGATGTAGGACCTAAGTTTTGTGGAGTGCAGGGTGTACTTTACTCCATCCATGGATCCAGTTTTGCCTGCACTGCCATATCACACTGCTCCAGATTCCAGATGGTAGACCTCAGCATTCTAGACAAAATAGATGTCGAGAGTCCAAAGCCTGTTCGCATTTGCCCTGTAGAGCTGCTGGAGATGGTCAGTACGGACAAAGGCAGCTTCTTGACAGCTTCCTATGTTTTAAGACAGCCTTCCTGCTCTTGGCATCCACCTAATTGTTTTTGAGCAAGAATTCTCTTCATCCTGGAAGTTGAAATCCAAAGCCTGGTTTAAGACATTTGAAAGCTTTTTGAGTAGGTATAGGTGGAAGAGTTGGAAGAGAAATATAACCAGAAAGACAGGATGGTGTGCTGGTGTCATAATTTTCAAGTCATGGTGTACTTGAGGAGGGGTTTTTTTTAAAAAAGATGTTCATTATCCCCATAATTTCTCCCAATACCAAACTATCAAAATGCCTTTGTATGCCCTGTGGAGTTTAAAGACTGACTTGGATCTGTAAGATCTTGGTCTGTGAAACAAAAATCCCATCATCACAATCTTGGGAATTGTGGTTGATATAAATATTTGTTTCCACTTACTCAAAGCTCCTGGGATTTGACAGAGCTTCTGATTTTGTAAAGTAATAAATTAATGAAAAACACACTGGGAAGAGCGAAGTGTGCTGCCAGCGAATGGCTTTTGTTGCCTGGAGACTTCCTTCTTTCACAAGAAGAATTTCAGGCTGGGAGAGAGATTTTGGTTTAGCAGAAGGAGAACAAAGATCATTGGGGAAAGAAGCAAATGCAATTCACCAGGTCTGCAAGGAGGAAGGCATGTGACAGAAAAAGAAACAAAGCAAGCAGTTAGCATAGCCTCTGAGTTACCCCTTCTCTTTCTAGTTCAAATTTTAGCGAGTTAGGCAGCCAAGACTTTATGATCATTAACACCTTTTTCAATATAACTTTCAGTTGAATTTAGTGCTCATTAAATCTATTAAAGATAGGTTTTGTTCAGAGTTGGACCCACAAAACTGAAGATAGCTTAAAAATCTTGCTTAGCTCTGCCCAGACTGTAACTTTTTAACCCCAAATGAATTCAATATTCTTTTCACGTGAATAAGATGGAAGAAATGATATCCCATTTCACAGGGTTATGGTGGGAACAAATCGCAGTCTCATCAGTACTAAAAAGGCACAAAGGAGCACGATCCTGTCAAAGTAAAGGACTTTTAAGACCTATTGATTTCAGTGGGTTTCTTGTGTGTTATGGAATCCCTTTCATGCCAAAATATATTCCATCTCTGTCTCTCTAATCCCACACATACACTGTAAGGATTTTAGGAGATGCATCGGATTACAGAGATGAAAGGCGGGGGGTGGGGTCAAATTAACACAGAGAGCAAATAGATTTGCTAAAAAGAAGCAAAACAAACAAGCAAAAAACAATAGCAAGGACAAAGCTAGACATCCCAAGATGCTGGTTCTGCAGTTATACTGTCACAAATCACTGAAAATTTATTGTGTAATGGAACAGCAAGGGACTTGTTAATGGGTCAGGAGTTGCACTGTCATCACGAAAGGGACTGGGATGCAGGGCTATGTGCTGTTGTCAGAATGAACAAGGAAGAACACTTCTGCAGTGATGAATTGTTAGATATTTGTATGACTGGAGTGACTGAACCAAAGGGACATGTGTCCATGGCATATATGAGTATTCTCTGGGCTTGTGGATCATGCGTGTGGGCTTATCCGTTGGCATGAGTGTTGGATGCAGCATGGACAAGAGTGAATGTGGAACAGCGGTTAGAGAGTTGGCGGGAGGTCCAGAGCTTATTCAGTGACTTTGGGCCAGTCACTGACCTTCAGCTTAACGTCCCTCACCAGATAGTTGTGAGGATTACAAAGAGAGTACGAGAAGGTTTATGTAAACTGCCTTGGATTCCTTGCAGGGGAAAGATTGGCTATAAATCTATTAAATAAAATCAGTAAAATAAAATCCCTGCATTCTTGAAGGATGGTACATGTCTCCTTTTCCAGATTGCACATGGCTTTCCAAAAGGTCAGGAAAAGAAAGTTCAAATATAGACAGCCTGGCAGTTTGCTAGCAGTCAGTAAAGAATACAGAGCAGATAATATTTCATTGTTGGGTACCACTGATACGAGATGTTCTTATAACATCCACAGTGGAAAGGCACTCATGAATTAAAATTTCAGCATGAAACCTGTAGGCACCATGTTAGAATCGACATGTGAATGCTTAATTGTAGCACTGTTTCTGAAGGCCAGCTCAATGGTATTTTTGTTTCTTTCAGCTCCAAGGTTCCTTGAAGAGAAAGTTGGTGGTAAATCTGTCACCAGCCAACAACAAGAGATCGAATGGTATTGCTGATAGCACCTTCCTTGATGTTAAGAGGATCCGAGTGGGGGACAATAATCTTTCTATGGGACATGGACACTGTGGTAACAATTGCCAGAATCAGTCAGTGTTAGGATCCTTGGCAGTTGGCCAGTGCTCGCAAAGGAAAGTCAGCAGCCCAACCAACAGCGCCCACTCGAATGCGAACGGGATGTTCAACATGGGGCTGAAGGAGGTAAAGAAAGAGCCAGGAGAAACCCTTTCCTGCAGTAAACACCTGGAAGGTCAGGCATCCCAGGTGTTTTCTAACAGGTATGGCGAAGACACAGGAGAGCAGTTGATGGACCCAGAACTTCAGGAGCTTTTCAATGAACTGACAAATATTTCAGTGCCACCCATGAGCGATCTTGAACTAGAAAACATGATAAATGCCACCATCAAGCAAGACGAGCCGTTTAACATTGATCTTGGGCAACAGATCCAAAGAGCACCCCCAGTGAGATCTTCTTCTCTGCAGATGGATAAAATGGTGGTTAAGCAAGAGTATTCAGCAGCTGTGAACCAATCTTCTGTGGGATCACCCCAGATGAGGCCTTCTTCTACAGGTCCAGCTTTCACGATGTCTGGTGCTGCCATGCCCGCCTCATCACCAATTCCTTCGGTGCCTCACACTCAGACTCCCCCATCTCAAGTGTCTTCGGCTTCCAACCGACCGTTGGCCAACTGGCAAGAGGTCTCTCATGCTCAGCAATTGAAGCAAATAGCAGCCAACCGGCAGCAACATGCCTTGATACAGCAATGCCAGCAGAACCAGTCCTCATCCACCTGGCCTGCTTTGTCGTCCACAGAACCTTCCGCTGGATCGTTTGTGCAAGAGAAAATCTCCAGCCCTTCTTTCCATCAGCAGCAGTTCAGTCCACAGAACTCTGGAATGTCGGGAGTCCCTGTAAATGGGACTCCATCCAAAGGGATGAGTAATTACATCTACCGGCCAAACTCCATGTCCCAGGGAAACTCTGCAAACACCATCATGCAACGAAAGCCTCAGGACCTCAGCAGAAGCTATCTGAGCAACAGCCAGATGCCCCTGGAGGAACATCAGAACAACATCAAGCCTTTGTTTCATTTCAGCTCAGACCAAGCCAGCCAGCAGATGCCTTCTGTCTTGAGCTCCCAAAGCAAACCTTCTCTTCTGCACTATGCTTCGCAGCAGGCCTCACAACCGCCCAGCTCTGTAGCTGTGCAGCAACCGAGCCAGCCGCCGCCACAGCCGCCGCAAACGACACAGCAGCAGCCGCCGCAGCCGCCATCTGCCCAGCCTCCCCAAAGCCAGCCTCTCCAAAGGCCACCAAACATCTCCCTGGCTTTACAGCAAAAGATCATGCTTCAGAAAATGCTGCAAAATCAACCTGGTTCAGGACTGCAGTATCCCGTTCCACCACCGCATCAACTGGTAAGGTTGTTTCCTAGCACAGGATTGTCCCGTACTGCTTAGAGTCATAGAGTTTGTGGAATGGCTTGATCTGTGCCTGGTCTTTCTACTTGAGGTGGCTAGGAACTAGGGGGACGTGGTGGTCCAAGTGTTGGACTGGGACTCCGGAAAGCCTGGTTCTGGTCCCCACTCACTGGGTGGCCTTGGGCCAGTTACTGGTGCTTGGCCTAACCTACCTTACTTACACAGTTGTTGTTGTGAGGATGAGAATAGAAACAAGGAACCTTATGAGCTGCATTGGGTTCCGTGCAAGAGGAGGAAAGGTGGGCTTTAAATGTAATGTGGTGGTGGTGGTGGTGGTGATGCTCAAGGTGAGTCGGAGGGGTCTTGTAAACCATTTAGTGCGGCTACGTCTCAGTTAACTCGGGGAACAATCCTATGCATGCAGCTACCTGCATTTTCTGAGCTGTCCAGGCTAGCCATGCTGATTAGGGCATACTGGGAATTGTTGACCTTTTGGTTTGTTGGTTGGTTCATGCACAACACGGCATCCTTAGTTATCTTATAGCTTAGGGCTGTTTAAATGGCAATAGCTGGATTCAGGCAACACAGTAACGCACACTCAGGGGTTGAGTATAGGTTAGGTCAAGAGTGTCACTGAACCATGCGTTCTTCTTATAATGTGGGTTATTATATATTTGTGAACCCAGTTGTACTGAAAGATTGTTTAACTAAAAACCATGAACAACCCATGAAGCCGCCCCGAGGTTTCGGCAAGGGGCGGCATAGAAATGTTATAATAATAATGATGATGATGATGATGATGAAGAAGAGAATTCATGGTTTGTTGTTGGGTAATGAGCTATGGGATGTTCATCGTGGTTGGTTATCATGGGTGCTTTCAAACAACCCATGGTTCAGTGACAACCCACACTGAACCAACAGTGAACCCTTGGGTTATTGTGTTGCCTGAACCCAGTCAATGTGTATTACTCCCTTCAAAATGTGACAAGACTGCCCTATATATTCAACTGAGTGAGACTTTGAAACTTCCCTCCATAGTTGGACCTTGATGAAACCACTGGCAGGAAGTCCAGTGCTAGAACTTCCCCATCAATAGTTCTCCTTTCTCTGCTTGAAGACCTGCAGTGTGGGAGATTCCCCCCCCCCCATATCAAATAATTGCTCATTATCAAGCTCCTCTTGCCATTAAGAAATGAAATTTCCTCCAGCACTGTTACTTAAACTGGGCCTACCACAAACATCTAACAGAACTGTCATCCGTTCTGAGTGAGTCCAATACATCCTGGCTTAATCAGGTGGGTGATCCCAATTAGTCAGGGAGTATGGTAGATCTTCCATGATGACATTGCAATACCAGGATGCACGTTTGTTTTGCCATGTATGTTGATGGCACAGAGGGCAAAGCCCATTCAAAGTGAGGGCAACATTTCCTGAATAGGTGAACCAATTTGAAGAACCGCCTGAAAAAACTTTGTTGACACTGCCGAAAGCGTGTTTCTAAAGAACTGTGAGCATTGTTGGTTCAGCTCTACTTTGAATGTAATAGAAGAGAACTGTTGGATTAGAAAAAATAACTTCCTTTCTCTCTCTATATATAAGTGGGTGGGTGGGTGGGTGGGACATACGCCCACTGTAACTAGGTGCCCTGGTCTGCCTTGCTCAGGTTGCATTCAGCAGATCAGCTGCATTATTTTTTAGAGAAAGAAAAGTATCATGAGCAACAACGAAAAAGGAGGCTGTCACAGCAACTCCCAGGTGAGTCCTTTGGCAGCTTAAAGCAGGAGTCCCCAGCGGTTCTGGAAGATGCGCATTTGAGAATTTGCGAAACCGCTGTGGGCAGCACCCCAAAATGGCTCCCATGGAGAAGGTGGCTACCAGCTGCCATGTGGGCCTGTCTAGTGGAAAGTGTGAATGTGGGGAGAGAGTAATATCAAGGTTCGTGCGAGGATGGAATGAAAAGACTTCCTTCCTCACCTGGATCTTCTCCTCCACAGAGACCTTTTCTCTTTCTCCCAGGTTTTACCCTCTCTGTGTCTGTTTCCAGATCTCCAGGTTTATTCTTTCGTTCCTTTCCTAGTCCAAGCTTTCCCTCCCACTCACCATTTTATCTTGATGTTTCTCCCCACTACAAATGTCAACCCTTGTTCTTCCTCCTCTTCCATCCCTTTGCCTTGCTTTCTCTTCCTGCCCACCAAACACTTGAGCAACAGCAGGTCAAGAACAGAAAGCAGAACCTGGAACCCATTTTTTCCATTTTCATTACTTAAAAAAATCAGAAAATGAATGGCTTTACAGGGTACCCACATGCTGACTAAGCCATGGTGCTGGGGATTGTGTGCCTTCGTCTAAACACACATTGCATTGTGCCTTCGACCAGTTAATTATATAAACTGGGTGAACCAAAGTCTGTCTCTCTTTTTCTGCCTTTGGTGGAAGGCATGTTGCAAAGAGGGTCTTTGTTATTTATCACCTGCATAAGATGCTGGCCTGAGTTTGGTTAACTCATGAGATTATACAAGTCTGTTGATGAAAAGTCTTGTTGTTGTTGTTGTTGTTTTTAAAAAGGAACATTCAGTCTCAGTGGTGACTGGAACCCTTTGAATCTGTGCTTTGTGAAATCAGATTGGTTGCATTATAATGGAACTGAACCGAGCTGTCCAACTTTGGAATAAGGGACATTTCTTTAAAATAAGGTGCATCTGGCATACCACACATCATATCTCTGTGATGGTTCTCTCTCGCCATGTTTCTGCTGTGTTTGGGCCATGCATTCTTTAACCACACAAAGTGTCTCAGCAGATGACATTTACTAAACCTTTATTCAGCCTCGGTGACATTTCTTGAGCAATCTGACAGCACTGAGGAGAGATGGACTAACTCTCAGAAGCATCCATCACTTCGGAAGCTGTGCAAGGAAATGTGCGTTGTCTTTTCTTGTGAGTGCAGCAAGGACTTGCTAAAAGCAGCCTTCACTCCCTGCCCCATCCAATGGCTACTGTGGAATAGAACCTCAGTCATAGATGCTGGGGAATAGCTGAAGGGTTTCTGGATCCATGTCACACAATACATGAGCCAGACAACAGAGGGGCAGCAAGAGATCCATGCAAGACGAGTTCCAGGTTCCTGAGGCCCTTGGGCAGATGTCGCAGTGTCTCCATTCCTCGCAAGTCTCCCTGCTCAGTGCCAGCTGCTCACCCAGTCTCTGAACACTGCCAGCACTGGATTTCTTGACAGGTCAAGAGCCAGCAAAAACATAGGCAGTGACCTGTGTGGTTCCTTTGTTTCACCACCAGTGTTGTCTGGGAAGGTGAGCAAGCAGGTTGCAGTGATGGAGAGTAAGAGTTGTTCAGTCTAGCTCACTTTTTGCTCGTTTGCTATTTGGGGTGTCGTGGGGCACTTTGTCAAAAGCTTTGCTAAAGTCAAGATAGCTTATGCCCACAGAATTCCCACAATCCATCTGGGAGGTTATCCAGTCAAAAATGAAATTAGATTTGTCTGGCAGGATTTGTTTCTGAGAAACCCATGTCGGCTGCTAGTAATCACTGCTTTGTTTTCAAGGTGTTTGCAGACTGACTGTTTTATTATTTGCGTCAGAATGTTTCCAGGAATTGAGGCTCCATACATACATGCATACATACATACCCAATTACATTTGAGGATCTGGGTGCATGTGCATGTGTGAGAGAGATTTTTAGTCAGAACTAATCATTCTGCACAATTTTCTGACTCTAAAGTATCCTCGAAGTACTTTGAGACATAACTGCATCATCTGCTATTTTGCTAAATGGAAGCACAAGTGGCTTATTTCTCTGCTTGTCATAGACACTTCATGTCAGTTTGGGAGAAAGTGACATTTGCTAACTTTATTCCTTCCACCTAACAAAAAATTGAAATAGAACTCCTTAGTTTCTTGGGAGATGAAGGGATGGGCAAAATAAATCCAATACCTACTACCTGGCAGCTTTTTTATTCTTGTTCCAGCTCCGTCGTTTTCATAGAAAGACTCCTTTCTCAAATGTTTCCCCTCCCAGTGCAACATACTGTGCGCGCTTTGCAAAGCAATGGTGCTTGCTGATTCATCCTGGAGTCTGGGTAACACTTCCCTGCAAAACTTAACTCATGTCATCAAAATGCTGCTAAAAATTCTGACCCTCACGATTCTAACTTGAACAGGATGTTCTAAAATTGCCTTGAATTTCACTTCAAGAGAGATTCGGTAGTACTGGGATCTCTCCCCCCCCCCCCCCGCCCCGCTCTCCCTTTTAGTAATCGCATCCATTTTTTTACCTTCCTTCTTCCACCCACGGCCTTCCCATACTGAGCAGGAAGGTTGCAAGGGGATATTTGACCAAAGTATATTCATCAAATGCGGTTAAGCCCCTACACTTAGAAACCCTGGGAACAACAGTAGCCCTGTTCAGTCGAATGCATTCACACTTCCACTTTAGACCTTCCTTCCTAGTGCAGAAAGGTCGGAGGTGGAGCAGATGGATCCCTGCACAGATGCAGCTCCTGAACATCGGAATCAGGTGGCATGGCTTCCTTGTTCCAAAAGAAACTTTAGGAAAGGTATGGGGCGTCACCAGCCTGCTTTACGTGCTTTCTGCCTAGCTGTACTTTCCCAGCTTGAGAGAAAGCAGAGGAGAACAAATTTTAAGATGAGGGAACTGTGCATACTGGAGCCTGAAGTTTGAAAGGACAGCTCATTTATTGCTGCAGAGTTTGTACGTCACAGTAAATGTGTGGGATCCAGCCCCAAGCAAGGCATTCTGGTAGCTCCATCTTAAGTAAGATCTACCGTGTATTTAAATACTGTGTACTCAAACTATGATATGAGATGGATGGACTCCATAAAGGAAGCTCCAGCCATGAATTTAGAAGAGCCAAGCAAGGCTGTTTAGGATGAGACATTCTGGAGGGCTCTCATTCATAGGATTGCCACTAAGTCAGAGACAATTTGATGGTATATAACAACAACAAACTCTGACTATGACTGT